GGGGCGTGGGCGGGGCCTGAGGAAGGAAGAGAAGGGGGCGGCTGACATCAAAGGGTCAGGGAGGGGGCGGTCCTGCAGCTCACCTGTGAGGCCCGCCACAGCCTTTCAACAGCAATATCCAGAGTGGCCATCATGAGAATGATCGTGATCCGGCAGCTACGTTTCTGGACCATGGCACCTTGCCCAGGGCTTTCTAGCAGCAACAACTTGACTCCCCAGGACTGCCCTTGGGAACTGGGCTACTAGGAGCCCCATTTTACAGATGAGCAAATTGAGGTACAAAAAATATAAAATAATCCACCCGAGGTATCACAGGGCTTCTAGGTGGCAGAGCTGAAACACAAATCCAGGTCTTCCCGCCCCTAGAGTTCACTCTGAAACACAAGAGCTATGTCAGAGAAGTGAGGGAGCCCAGTGGGACCCTCATATCCTGTGCAACAGGGACCAAGTCAGTGATCAATACTTGAGAGCAGTTTCTACTACTATTGTGGTTATTCTTGTGATGAAATCAGCAATTCTTACCTGTGCTAAGCGCTTTATAGGGACAATCCCTCGGCCCCCTCAAACTCCCTTGGGACGTAAGTACATTATTACCCCTATTTTATAGATGTGGAAACCAAGACTCAAGAGAGGTTAAGTCACTAGGCCCAAGTCACACAGCTAGAGCCGACAGAGCCAGGATTCACCAAGCACAGCGATCATCTCTGGCGGCCATAGAAGGGAAAAAAAATTAAGGCAATGAAAGTGTCTACTGTTCGTAAGGCCCAGCCTGATCGCACCTATTCTTTTCCCTGCAAAGAATGGTATAATCCCCCACAGTCACGCTGAGGCTCAGAGCACTGTGTCTCAGACTTGAGCGCACAGGCAGACCCCCTAGGAATTTCGTTAAAAATGCAGCCACAGGGGCGCCTGGGTGGCGCAGTCGGTTAAGCGTCCGACTTCAGCCAGGTCACGATCTCGCGGTCCGTGAGTTCGAGCCCCGCGTCAGGCTCTGGGCTGATGGCTCAGAGCCTGGAGCCTGTTTCCAATTCTGTGTCTCCCTCTCTCTCTGCCCCTCCCCCGTTCATGCTCTGTCTCTCTCTGTCCCAAAAATAAATAAACATTGAAAAAAAAATTAAAAAAAAAAAAAAATGCAGCCACAGGGGAGGAGGGGGGAGGGTGGCTGGATGGCTCAGTAGGTTGATCGTCCCAACTGAAATCAGTCGGTTGATTTCAGCTGGAGTGATGATCCCAGGGTCGTGGAATGGAGTCCCTTCTCAAGCGTGAAGCCTGCTTGAGATTCTCTTTCTCTCTCTCCCTCTGCCTTCTCCCCCGATCACATGCTTGCTCTCTCTCTCTCTAAAATAAAAACAATACAATTAAATTAAAATTTTTTTTAAATGCTGCCTCGGGTTCGGTCAGGGGTGGGTGTGAGGTTCTGCATGTCTAACAAGCTCCCAGGGGTCAGTGCTGCTGGCCCATGGGCCACGCCTTGGGTATCAAGGGCTGAGAAAACGAGTTGAGGAAACGGAAGTAAGGCAAGGAGGGTTGAGAAATAGAGGAGACTCACTGCATGGAGATGGGGAAGGTGGAGGGCAGGTGCAGAGGAGCTGGAGGAATGCATAGGAGGGGAAGAAGCAGTTACAAGGTCAGCCAGCGGGGCCTGGAATCTTCTATGGGTCCTGTCACCAAATCCAGACAGTTACACTAACGGTCACCAACGTGTATGAAAGGTCTCACTCCGTGTTCAGCACTGTGGGAAGTGATCACAGTGGTGATCACCTTCCTTCCTCTCAAAAACAAAACAAAAACAAAACATAAAAACCAAAACCAAAACACCGTCTATTGTCCCCATTTCCCAGATGAGGCAACTGAGGCTTCTAGACAGGCAGTGACTCACCAAGGTTACCCAGGTAGGACGTGGCAGAGCGGGGCCCCAATCCAGGAGAATAGACGGGCTCGGGACTCGCGACTCCACCGCTGCCCCTCCATGTCACCCCCACGGAACCCCTGCCCCTCTAGGAGCCTCGGTTCCCCTGTGCTGAAATTCGGAGCTATCACAGCACCCTCCTCACGAGGGTGTTTCAAGGACAAGCTCTCGAGCTCTTGTTCAGGGTCCCAGCTCCGCATGCGCACAAGAAGGCGGCCTGGGGTGAAACTGGGGTGGGGGTGGGGGAGGCGCGACCAGGCACAAAGCAGGGGGCTGATGAATAAATGATGATGCTCCAAAGCAGGACTGCTTCATTTTTAATGAGGCAGAGCTCATGCCTGACAGCCCGAAGGCTCCACTGCCCTTCCCGCTATATTTTACTCCTTGGCTCTTATCAGCCCCTGACACGCTGTTTATTTTACTTATTGATGCTGGTGTTATTTCGATGTGCCTCCCTAAAAGCCAGCTTCCCCCAGGGCAGGGACTGTCATTTGGGTCACTGCCATACCCCAGGGTCTACCACACAGTAGGCGCTCAAATATTGGTTGAAAACAAAGTAATAATAATAAGGAAAGGACAGATGGTTGAGAAAACAAAAGGCAGGTTGGGAACAAAGTGATCATTTATGGGAAAAATAAATTCACAAAATATGGTTCGATCGGTGCACTTGGAGAAGTATAGAATAAGATTCGAAGTCTTCTCAGCAAGAGAAAACGCTTGGGCCTCCAGAGGTACAATGGGCGACCCTCACTTCCCCCAATGCAAAGCATTTGTATTCATGCTATTAGCATAGATAAAAATAAAATTTTAATGAGGAACAGTCAGCTAAATCCAGAATATGCAAAACTCTACAGGATACATGACTCAATTTTTTTTTCCCACCAATAAATGGCATTTTTTAAAAAGTAGGGAGGGAGGATTCTTTTTTTTTTTTTTAATGTTTTTATTTATTTTTTGAGAGAGATACAGAGCAAGAATGGGGAAGGGGCAGAGAGAGAGACAGAGAGAGAGAGAGAGAGAGAGAAAGAGACAAGGAATCCAAAGCAGGCTCCAGGCTGTCAGCACAGAGCCTGAGGCGGGGCCTCAACCCGTGAACCTGGAGATCCTCATGACCTGAGCCGAAGTCGATGCTTCACGGATTGAGCCACCCAGGCGCCCCAAGAGGGTTCTTAGTATTAGAGATTTAGGAGACATTTTAAACGCATTGTGTGTACTTTGTTTGGATCCAGATTTGAATAACCAACCATAAAAAGACATTTCGGCGACCATTAGGAAGATGTGAATATGGATCACACATTAGAATGTTACAGAATTATTAATCATCTCATAAAGTATGACAATGGGATTTTTGTTATGTTGAAAAGAGAACTTACCTATTGGAGATACACAGTGAGGTACGGATGAAATGATACAATGTCTGAATTTGCTTTAAAATATTCCAGTGCATGGGGCACCTGGGTGGCTCAGTTAGTTAAGCGAGGGACTTCAGCTCAGGTCACGATCTCATGGTTTGTGGGTTCGAACCCTGCATTGGGATCTGTGCTAACAGCTCAGAGCCTGGAGCCTGCTTGTATTCTGTGTTTCCCTCTGTCTCTGTTCCTCCCTTGCTCATGCTCTCTCTCTCTCTCTCTCTCTCTCTCT